AATTACGGCAAGGTCCCTTTCCTCAAGGAACTTCCTTCAAGACACTGGTATGTTTGTGGCCTTTCTTTATCAGCTTTTGGCATGGTGATTAGTGAGTAATGCTCATAGATATGCGATTTATTGACATTTTACCTATTTTTCATTCAACCAGTAAAATATTTCAATTGCCATTATGAAATATCACTATTTTCTATGGCTATTTTCTTTTCTCTGAAGCATAATTTAAAAACTAAGAAAAAGGAAATGTATCTTAATCCAGTCAACTAGTTTGTTTTTTTTTAAGATTAAAAAAATAGCAGGTGCACTTTTGATCCAAACTCAGGCACAAATTGCTTTCTAGAACAGTCTTGTGAGTTCCTCCTGACTCACCCTAAGCCATCTTCATGCCATACGGCACTCCTGCCCTAGTTCCTCCATTCATCTAATCCTGTGAATGGACTTATGATCATTCTCTCTTAAGAATTATCTCAGGATTCTAAATTATATAAGTGACAGTGATAATGATTTTCCTAAGAAAGTTTTTTAAAACTATCATGGATTAGGTTTTGTTATACAGACGTTTGTATGATAACCTAATTAATGTATAACATGAACAATAATGAAGACTAATAAGTTGAGAAATAGTATTATGATAGTATTTAAACTTTCATTCATTTTCATAGGCTTTTGCCTACCTTTAAAAAAATTAGAATGATATATACGCACCATGCAGACATAACAGGGTACTAAAATATTAAAAAATAAAATAGAGCAAGTAAATATGCACAGTCTTTATTCCTTCTGTGAAATCTCACCACACAAGAGTACATTGTTCTGGCAAAGCCCTTATCACATTGTATTATAATTACTGTTTATAGTCTATTTCTCTGACTATAGACTAGGCAAAGAGCTTTAGGAGATCTAAACCTATTTATCTTTGGGGCCCCAGCTCTGACATAATGTCTGGCATGTGGAGGATGTTCAGTGTAAAACTGTTCAATGAAGAATAAGTGAGGAGAGATAATAGGCTTAATTTCCTCATTCTGCCATTTATGGTATACTAGAGCCCCGATGCACAAAAAATTGTTAAAGAGTAGGCCTTCCTTCCCCTGGCTGCCGGCACTGGCTTCCCTCCAGCACCCAAGACCTGGGCTGGCTTCCCCCAGGCTGCCCGCAGGCATCCGGGACCCGACTGGCTTCCCTCTGGCCAGGCTTTGTCAGGAAGGACATCCGGAATGACGTCTGGTCTAATTAGCATATTACCCTTTTATTATTATAGATGGCCTCTTACCTCTTAGCCTCTGTCTCAGCTTTCACATCTGCAATATGGGTGAAATAAGTAGTTGTAATGAGCCTTAAAAGACCTCTTGTGTGTATAAGCCGCGAAGAATTGCACAGGGATTAGTTGACTTGACTATCCCTTCCCTCAGCCAGAGTTGATCACTTACAATGTGTGAAACACTGGCTAAGTAATGGGACACCCAGCTCCTTTCCTCGTGGAGTTCAGAGTATAGTGGGAGAAAAAATGCCAGGTAAATGGGCAATCACCGTAACATCTGCTAATTATATTGTGACAAAGTTTGGGCAAAGTACAGGGTGCTAAGGAATACATCGGTGAGTATTTACCACAGCCTTGAGGAGGCTGAGGAGGATTCTTGGAGAATGTGATCTCTAAGACTGATCAATGTCAGGAAAATATTTCAGCCAATGGAGGAGGAGATGAAAAGACCAGGAGGGAAGAGCAAGGGTAGGATGCTCTATGTGTCAGGGGGCTTCTTAAATTCCACAAGTCCTAGCCTTATTCCAAAGATCGTATGACAATGCTTTTGTAATCTTCTCATCTGTTTCAAAAAACTATCTAAGTTAGATTATTTTTTTTCTCCTATTGTGTAGGAAGTTTTCTCTTTGGAACGACATTTCTAAAATTCTCCTAACTCATACAACTTTATCACTTTTGTGATTTAGCAAATGATCTGTCAAAGAATTAGCAGAATCTCATTTTGGTGATGCAAATGAAACTTGTTAAATAATGCTGCTGAATATACTGCATATTGCTGAATTTGCTTCAAAAATCTGCAAGCCTCTTACCACCAACTGGTTTCACCTTTCATTAATTACTGGTATTACGTGGCTTCCTTAAGTTACAGAGATACTAATCACGGAAATATTTACATGGACAGAATTAGCGATGTAATGAATGTTTGCCACATTATATTGTTATTTGTGATTAAGCATCACACATTCCGCATCATATTAGCATTTATATTTTGTATGTTTTATGTAAACACTGTAAGAGTGTGAACTGTACTTTGTGTTGACAAGTAAAGATAATAAACCAAGTACTAAGGTCAGTTGTCTTAAAACATTAACTTCTTTAAAAGAGTAGTAGAAAGACCATGTGCAAATCAGAAAATCTAGGTTTGATTCTTGGCATAGACATAAACTAGCAATGTGGTTTCGGGCAGGCCACTTCTATTTCATTTAATGAATGATTTCTTTATCCTCCTCATTTACACTTTAAACAGCATGGAAACAGTGTTTGAAAGTGTTTTCAGTGGAGATTAGTTATAAAATGAATACTTAAAGTTTATTTAAGTATGGGTAAATATGAAAAGTTAAAAAAATTATCCATTATCACCTTCTATTTCAGTGCATGAATTCTAGACTAAGAATCAAATTTACTATGCACTATTTAAAATATAAATGTAAATTCTGTGTTTTACTGAATCATTGTTCACATTATCATTATCCTCAGATATCAATGTTTGAAATGGACTGTAGCAACATCAATAGAGGAAAACAATTTTAAAATAACTCTAATGGATCCAGACAGTCAACAAATCAAAGAAAAATAAGATAAAAAGAATGATGATGTTATTACAAGATGAGATCTTAGGGTATTTTTCTAGAAATTTTGATTGTAAAATGTGCTAAAAGAACAATTTTGTGGGTTGAAAGGAAGAAATGATCTACGGAATGCTTCTCATAGTATTCACACAATAAATGCAAGACTACATTTTGCTCAGTTTGACATCTCAGGAATTATACACTACTATTCTCTCTCTTAAAAAAACAAAGAACAAACAAAACAAAAACAAAACAAACAACAACAACAAAAAACAGCCCCCCAAAACAGAAGAAAAATGTGGTGCCTTCCTGGTTCCTGTAAGAAATAAACTGCTAATTAACTTTAATGTATGAACATGATTTCAAACCACATATTTATTACAGAAACTATTATTTTCCATCTCCAAATTTCCTAATGACAAGAAACAGCCTATTTTAATCAAATTGGCCTCCCTTCTGCTCCTTAAGTACAAGAGATGCTCATCTGGGGCTACGGATAATGAAGCCATGAGATGGCAATCTAAGTTTTAGGGGAGTCTTCTGTTAAAAATAAGTGACCACTTAAATGCTACCATATCTTGTTTCACAAATCTAGCCTCACACAAATAGTCATTTTTGGTGCAAAAGTTAGTCATAAAATCCTCCATTAGTGGTTGGTAATGGACCATAATATTGCATGTTTGTAAAAAGTGCATTTGAAAAATGAAATGCTAGAAGGACTGTCCATATAAGGAATATTAATATTTATATGAGATAACCTCTTAGGGCCAGATTTCCTTTTTACTGACAATTGCCTACACAGAATATTTTCCACTATCTTGAGAAAGGGCTTTGCAATTCCAGCACTCGTCTATATTAAGCTACATCAATACTCTGCTTTATTGTGTCCTGGCTGCTTTAATAGAAAAAAAAATGGGAGTGATTAGTAATTGTTAGTTTTACAATAGATATGATAAAATAAATCAGAAAGAACCTTTGGAATATTAAATATATTACGGTCAAACAATGTTAACCGATGTCTAAATTAAACGTGAATGCTTACAGCAAATTTCCACCCTTCATTATTAGCACTTAACCCCAGAGGGGTGAATTTCAAGCAAGTATCAAGAGAGAATCTGGTACTTGTAATTATACTTTCAACATAAGGTTATATATATATATTCCCAGTGCAATGCCAACAATGCTAGAGGAAATATGTTCAGCTTCCACCATGGTCAAAACTGACAAAGACGCTTCTTGTGAAAATAGAATAAACTAAAATAACTTAGCTACACACACACACACACACACACACACACACACACACACACACAAGAATTCTGAGTACCTTTATTTCTTGTTTAAAAGGAATTTGTTTTAATTATATGAATAAAAGTATGATCATATTTTTAATGGTCAACTCACGTTGGATGAAACTGTTTTTAATTTTCACAGTTAAAAAATAATAATGATGATGCGTTAATATTAAGCACTCACCATGAGCCAAGCACTGCTCTGCTACATTTGTTATTTCATTCGCCCTTTTCCACAACCTTTGAGGTTGACACTGCTTTACAGATGAAGCATAAAGCTCAGAGAAGATAAATAACCTGTTTAAGGCCATACATCTAACAAGTGACTCCCACTCTGACAAACTGATAATGGAGCATACTCTATCGCTGTTCGTTGATTTCTCTGTCCCTAAGCAGGGAAATGAAAGACCCATTGAAGGTTATTGCTCAGTTCAAGTGCTAATTACGAAACGCAGAGTGTGCATCCTTAAGCCACAATCTGAACTAGCCAGCTGTTTATTTTCAGGAACTAAAGAGGCCTTTAGCCTGGACACTCAGTGGGTCTCCAGTCCTTGGCTGTTCTTGGAATTCTGCTAGAACTTACATGGAAGAACATTAAGTTTCTCTCACTGGTGGATAAAAAGAGTATTATGCTAAGCGAACTAAGCTAGTCAGAGAAAGACAAGTATCACATGATCCCACTCATATGTGGAATCTAAAAAACAAAATAATCTGATGAACAAAATAGATCCAGAGACACAGAAGCATGGGACAGACTGTCAAATCTCAGGGGGAAGGTGAGGTGAGGTGGTGGGTAAGGTGGGAGGGGGGAAGAGATCAACCAAAGAACTTGTATGCATGTACGCACAACCCATGGACACAGACACTAGTGTGGTGGAAGCCTGTGGTGGGGGCGGGGGCAAGATAGAAGAGGTGAACGGGGAAACGGGGGGAAGATGTAGTAATACTTTCAACAATAAAGATTAAAGAAAACACATAAAAAGTGTTCAAGATTCTACTGATGCAGAAGAGCTCCGCCACAAGGCTAAGGCAGCCCTAAATGAGGCAGAATTGTGCAATGTAAGAACTCCAAGATGGGGAAAAAGGAAATCTGAATTCAAACCAAACTTATTTTTCACATCTGTAACTCGTGGATCCTAATAACCACTGCTTCTCCTTGGGTTAATATGGAGCTCTCAGAAACCAGGAAACAAGCGTGAAAGTAGTCTGCAGACAGCCAAGATCATCACAAAGTAGATATTATTATAAAGTAACCCATGAAACAATACATTGTTAGACAAAAGAAAGGACCGTTTGATGCCGGGGGTAGTAGATCCATCCACATGTCCAGATCAATGTTGCCAAGAGAAAATAATACTGCCACAGCTTCCATGTCCCCGGCGCCTGCCTCCTGGAGTCTGCATCATTGCAACTGCAACATGAGTTAAGAGATGGCATTACAGAACCAGGAGGGTTGTTGAATCTTCTGAAGATCACGCAAAGGACTTGTATGCATACATATGAGCATAACCAATGGACACAGACAGTAGGGGGGTGAGGGCATGTGCTGGGAGCAGGCGGGGTGGGGTCAATGGGGGAAAAGGGAGACATATGTAATCCTTCAAACAATAAAGAATTTAAATTAAAAAATAAAGATCAGCTTAAATGGGTCATTCCAGGATGATCAAACGTTTGAAGAGAAATATTCAGTAAGTGAATCTGGAGAATAAGATGAAGTTTGAAGGAAAGGAAATATAGTATTGCACTAATTTAGAATTCAGAAGTGGTTTCATGACATTCACTTGTTCTGGAAATATTCATCACTGTGGTTCCACCCCATGCCAATCATTATTAATGCTAATCTAATCATATAAATATATATTTTTCTACTTTTTATAAATTCACAGACAAATAGGGAGACAGATATTATACAAATAATTTCAATAAATGTTATTAATGAGCTTGAACTTCCGTTTTCTTAGTTATTAAATAAGAATATTGGAGTAAATGATTGCAAAAGTCCCCTTTACTCATTACCTAGGGCTGATTTTTTTTTTAAATGACCATCTAAACAATAGAAAAGGATAAAATATCAAGTAAGAAACAAGAGTGGAATTGCCAGAACATGCAACTTAAATGTTATTAACTACATTTTAATGTGAATATTGGGATAAGCAGATCTTCAGGAATAAATACAATATTGCCAAAAGTAATTGAAAAACTTTTTAGGAAAAAAGGAATGAATTAATCAAAGTCTTTGTGTTCATCTTTGTTGTATCAAAATAGCTTCCACCAATTGCCTTCCCTGTCCCATGCAACTGATAACATAATTTAAATTATACTACCTCATTTAATCCTATCTAAGGTCTAGACTGTATTATTGTCCTAGGTTTATTTTTATTATTTATTATTATTTTTAAAAAAATCAATGGCCTCCCCTACCCCCCAGTGTCTTGTGTCCATTGGTTATGCTTATATGCATGCATATAAGTCCTTTGGTTTATCTGGGGGGTAGAGAGGGCCGGGGGAAGGTCAAGGGGGAAAAAAGGAGATATATGTACTATTCTTTGTAATATTTTAAGCAATAAAACAAAAATTTTTAAAAAAATCAATGAAAAAATATCCTTGGGTGAGGATTAACAAAAAAAAATAATTCTACTAATAAATTCCAAAAAACTGTCTGTTAGTGAAAATGGGGGGAGGAAACATTTTCTGAAAGTCCACTCTAAGCCGTTCAGCTAGATATTTTACATCCTCATTTGATTCTCAAAAAACAAAACAACCCTCTCCCCCCATTCTGTGACATAAAATCCCATCTGCAGAGAAAGATCTTAACTCTCTGAAAAAGATTGATTTAATGAAGGGATCAAGGTCCCAGCCTTGACGCGTTAGTGACTATGTGACTTGAAAATAATCCTCTGATCTTTATGTGCTTCTGTCCTTCTGTATAAAATAAAGGGAACAGGGCCAAGTTGATAGGACGGATTGCCTCATAAAATGAAAAGATTCATTGCGTGTGAACACGTGGACAAGCATGTATGTGCCTGGTGGGAGTTGATGGGTGACACTTTGAAAGTCTCCAGGTCTGTTATTTGCGGTCCAAGGCTGCAAGGATGGAAAGAATCTTGGGCTGATGAGTGAGGGGAGAAGACGCAGCTGGGAAACTTGGCTCTGGTGGGATGTGAGCAAAACTGGAAAGGATGCCATTGAGCAGTTGGGATGGTCAGGAGGGAAAAGATCGGGCTGTGAGCTGGGGAGAAATTGCAGCGTGAGCCAGACAGTGAGAGAAGACCACCGACTTCTAGGCACCATGTAGAATATTCAGCCCAGTCAAGGGCAAAACCAGACACGGCGTAGGTTATGTGTATAAAAACTACGTTGTGATGGAAACCTATGTTTCAAAAGCTAATGAGGATTCTAAAGTAACTGATAGCAACAGATCATGTGAAAAACAAGCAATGCTTTATTTATATTAACTCAGAAGTGAAATTACTTTAACCAGAATGCTCATTTTCTGGAAAATCGTCCCTCCATCACTCTCAAAAAACCTGTTGTAGCTAATGCAAAGACAGCTTGAAATATCATACCATGCACCAGTTAATGTGTCTTTAACATTACAAAACATTTTTAATCCCCTGAATTTTATGCTGATGTTATCAACTGCCTTCCGTTTATTAGACGTCATTTGCTAAACTACTTTGTTTAATCATGTAAAGTAATATAGCCTAATCGTTATTTTCGTAATCCTAACATTTAAGAAACAGGTTTATCTCTAATTTTCTATTATTTTAATATAAAATATTATATTGATTTTGTGTGCTCTTCCCAGATATTTCATGGGTAAATCTTATTCTGTTTTCTTTATTAGCGTCTACTTCCTTATTTAATGCAAATGGAACACATATGGAGAAATGGGATAAGACACTTCATTATGGAAAATACTATCTAAAATGGAATTGCCAAATAAAAATCATAAAGTCAAATTTTAATTTCAGATAAACAACAAAAATAACAGGAAACATCAGATATAGTAATACTAAAAAAATTATTCATTGTTTATTTAAATTTAACTGGGCATCCCATATGTTTATTTACTAAATCTCGCAATCTCTATCTAAAGCCCATGGTTTGTGATGAAAATATCTAAGCAAAGAAAGAAGGTCTGCCATCCCTGCACCTAACAACCAGACACCAAATTTGCAAAGACCTACTCTGAAGGTCATAGCACTTTCATAGTCATAAGTAAAATAGCCAGCAGTTGAAAATGGGCAGGGCATGGTCACTCTCCTAGCTTCTAAAATCTCTGACACCACCGTCAAGGAAATAGTAGATGCTTAGGACCAAGTAGGTACAGGTACTATTTCCTGGAGAGTATTTAAGCCCACATCTAGGACCTAGGAAGGAGGTGTGGGCTTTCTGTAGATTTGTGGGACAGGATCAAAGCTGTGGTTAGTGGACAGCAGGCTCCAGGTACATCAGACCATTGAACTTGAGAAGCCCGTGTTGCTTCCTCTCTGGAAGTTATCTTGCTTTGTGAAACCACCCAACACCCTGACAAAGCACTCTATTCAGCTGAGGAAAGACAGAAAAATAATCATGTTCCAGACCTCACAAACTTTTGAACCCAGTTCAAAAACCTCCTGTTTATTCCCTAAAATGAAAATTGGTTACAATAAAATTACTAAAAATGCTTTCACTGGATGACAAAATAAGTTTAGTTTCTACAGACTAAAAAAAAAATTAACTCAGTTATGAAACATAGAGACACACCCAATTTTCTGGGAGAAATGTGTAATGTAAGTCAATGTTATCACACGGGCATGGTGTGCGTGCCCTTGCTCAGAATGAAAAGATTGGCTTTAGAAAAGGAACCTGTTAAGAAGAATTTAGAGGACTGACGTTGCTTCCTATGACATGCCATGACCAAGAAGGCCAACAATTAATATATTAATTACACTGTAGCTAATACCTTCCTTTTACATATGAACTAAAGTCTACATTTCTGTAGCTGCTCTCATTAATTGATTTAATTAATTCAATAATTCATTCGTTTATTTAGTAATATATATTATTTTACTTTTGGCACATGGCTAGATTTAAACAAAGGAACTCATGTATAGTAATAGATGCAGAAATGCAAACAATTAAGCAATGGAAATAGTAGGATCTAAGAACACAAAAGAAAAACGGGAAGAGAGGGAGACACACAGACAAGAAAGATACAGAGAAAGAGACAGACAAAGATAAGCAGAGGTACTGAGAGACTGATAGAGACATCTTCTCCCTGGGAACGAACAATTTAAAAATACTCTGTTACTTCTCCTTCTCTGGAAATCTGCTTATAAAATTTCCTATAGATAAGTTAAAATGGATTAATTTTCTATTCATGGGAATGTTGATGTGTTTTTTCCTTTTTTTACATTATAGATTTTTATTTTCTCAAGAGTCTGGAGAAGATCAACAGGGAAGGAGCTAACCCTTTTTACAGATGGGAAAACTAAGACACTTAAGCAGTTGATCACTTCATATATAAACAGTGGTGACAGATTCCGTATGTTTTCAGAATAAGGATGATGCAAAAAGGAAAAGACTTAACTTCAGATATATGAAGGACTATCATTTCCAGAGGAAAAGGTGAGAACTCCTGTCTACTATGATCTGACAATGAGAAGAATATCTGAAATGTGGTTTATTCACAATAGCAAATCCAGGCAGCGAAGTCATGATGTTCAAGAATCAAGGGGGAGGTCTCAAAGAAAACAGCTTCCCAGTGTTTCTGGTGACTGGCTCTGCCTCTGTAAATTCCACACACTGGGCCTGAGGGGCACTTCTAGATAAACAATACACTGCACCATTTAAAATGTGTAATGATGCTCCTGTTAGTAATATATTTTCAACTCTATCTACTGGGCACCATGCTTGCTAAGTGCCATATAAATATTTTAATTCTCACAAAAATCTCATAATGCTAGTGTCATCATTTTCAAGTTTCAGAAGAAGATCATACAGCTTTTGTAGTAGTGGTTGACGCATATCCTATATAATAAAAGCCTAAGTGGCATCACGCCTTAGTGCAACATCGCCACAAGATGGCCTGCAGGGGAGGGCAGTTGGGGGTGAACAGGCTGGGAGGGGAGGGCAGTTGGGGGCAAACAGGCCATCAGGGGAGGGCAATTGTGGGTGATCAGGCCAGCAGGGGAGGGCAGTTGGGGGCAATCAGGCCAGCAGGGGAGGACAGTTTGGGGCGATTGGGCTGGCAGGCAGGTGAGCAGTTAGGAGCCAGTGGTCACGGATTGTGAGAGGGATGTCCCAAATTGGAGAGGGCGCTGGCCAGGCTGAGGGAGACCCCGCCCCCCCCGTCCGGGCCTCTAGTTTGTTATAAATCTAGTTTGTTATAAATGCAGGTGTGCCTGACTCTAGGGTTAAAGTTCA